TCTGTGGGTGTAGGTCAGTGGGACTCAGCATCTCCAAACCACCCACATTTGTCATGTCCTAGAGGCAGGACAGGGTGGTTCAGGGCTTGGTCTGGGTCAGCCGGCCCTGGCTCCAATCCTGCCACTTCCAGCGACAGTGCAATGTCCTCCCAAGCCTCAACTTGCTCAGCTGTAAAATGGGGAAGCAAGGGCTCCCATCTCATCAGGGCATTGTGAGGATGAAATGATGCAGTTAGCATTTTGTAAATCCCACTGCATTGTACACTTTAAAAGGGGGCATTTTATGGTATGAGAATCACATCTCAATTTAAAAAGAAGAGTTGGGGGCACCAAAGGATTGATACTTCTCTGTCCTGGGGCCTCCCAGGCTTGCAGGGAAAGCTGGCGGGTGGGCAAGGAAGGCTCTTGAGGTGGCCACAGGGTGGTCAGTGCCCCGAATCCAGCCTGTAGCATGAGAGGAAGGTGGCGTATTGGGTAGAATTTGGGTATTTTTCCACATTTTTCGTGAAAGGTTTGGGTTATTGCTTCCAGCTTCATTTGAATTTGCATGAGGAAGAGCAGGAAGGAAGGAGGGAGGAGGAGGGAGCAGCTGTCAAGTGATTAGCAGAAATAGCTTTCCTGTACTTTATAGACTCTCGCTCTTTTTAAAAATTTAAATTTATTTAACAAATGCTTATTTAGAATGAACCATGTGCCAGACTCTGTTCTCAGCCCCTTACCAAAACAGACTCTTTTATTTGCCTGGACAACTCAGCAAGGTCGACGCTTTTCTTATTCTCCTTTTAACAAATGAAGGAACTGAGGAACTGAGAGCTTGATGACTTGTTTGTGTGGCCACAGAGCTGGTCAGAGGCCGAGCAGAGATTTGAACCCAAGCCCCAGAGTCCAAGGCCTTACCGACTCATTCACTCATTCATCATGTAAATGTCTATTGAATGTCAGCTATGAGCTAGGTGTTTTTCAAAGCACCAGGGATTGCCTTAGCGACTGAGCGGTTTTGCTCAGTGGATAGAGTGTTGGCCTGCAGACCAAAGGGTCCTGGGTTCAATTCTGGTCAAGGGCGCGTTTCTTGGTTGCAGGCTCCTCCCCAGCCAAGACCCTGGTTGAGGCGTGTGCAGGAGGCAACATATGGATGTGTTTCTCTCACATAATTGTTTCTCCCTGTCTTTCCCTCTCTTTTCCACTCTCCCTAAAAATCAATGGAAAAATATCCTTGGGTGAGGATTTACAACAAAAAACCAAACAAGCAAACAAACAAACAAAAAGCACCAGGGATTCAGAGGTGAGCAAGCCCACTGCTGGGGTCTGAATACTTCTCACTTCAGCAGCAGTGACTCTCAGAGGAAGAAAACAGGTACTGTGAGCGCTCATGGGAGGGTCCACTTTACAGATGGTCCCGCCGGGCAGGGCATTGTGAGGATGAAATGATGCAGTTAGTATTTTGTAAATGTCAGTCACAACAGTGTCAGACACTGGACCCCACACCCCAGCTGACAGCCCTCTGGTACTGGAGCACTGGCCCGAGGATGGACTGACTCCTTATTTCGGGGCCCCTGCCTTCCAGACGGAGCCTGAGCTCTGGGAGCCCCCAAGGCCTAAGGCGGCGGCTCTGTCGTTGGAGCAGCCACTGCTTATTTGAAGAAGGCAGCGCCTTCCCTTGCACAGGCAGGGTAAGCTGTGCCCAAGCGCCTCTCCACTGCTGATCAGCCCCCATGCCTCCCCACTGTTATCTGGGGGCTCCAGATGGGGCTCTTCTAACAAGAGGCTTGTTATGACAGGAAGTTAGCCAGTGACGCTCAGTGCCCTCAGCTGGCTGCGTGCGCTGAGCTGTGGCCCATCATTCCCCACCAACATCTCTCTCGGGCAAGTGGGGACTTCGGTAAGAAGTTTATGTTATTTCTTTCTTTGCTCGTTGGCATTTCTTTGAGCCCCTAGTGTGTGCCAAGAACTGAGATGATGCGGGTGTGAGGTCCGCGTGCTGAAAAGCACGCAGCCCAGGCCTTTGGCTCGTATATGCAAGTGAGTAGTATGTGTGGTTAAAAGGTGCCATAAGGGCTATCCAGTAAATGAACAGGGAAGGAGGCAGCCTTGTGGGGGGAGGAGGGGGATACAGACAAGTCCCTGAAGCCTGGCATCTCCTCACTCCTTATGCTGGTCTCCTACCACCTGGGAGCCCCAGTGGCTTGTCCCCCTCCCCGTTCACTGTCAAGTGAATTGACCAGTGTTCCAAGCAGGGGAAACAGCTAGTGCAAAGGCCCTGGGCAGGAACAAGCTGCTTCCTGTGGCTGACACAGCGAAATTCCACAAACTGGGGGCTTAAACAGCAGAAACTTGTTATCTCACAGTCGGGGGGCTAGAAGTCTAGGATCAAGGTGTCGGCAGAGTTGGTTCCTTCAGAGGGCTGTGAAGGACATGCTGTTCCAGCCTCTCTCCTGGCTTCTCGTGTTGCTGGTAATCCCTGGTATTTCTGGCTTGTAGAGGAATCACCCCGATCAGGGCCTTCATCTTCACGTGGCGTCCCTGTGTGTGTGTGTGTGTGTGTGTGTGTCTGTGTCCACATTCCCCTTTTATAAGGACACCAGTCATATTGGATTAGCGCCCACCCTCTCCAGTATGACCTCATCTTATCCAATTACACCTGCAACAACCCTGCTTCCAGATAAGGTCACATTCAGAGGTCCTGGGGGTTAGGTCTTCCACACATGAGCTTTGTTCGATGTGGGTGCACAATTCAGCCCATAACAGTGTGTTCTAGAAACAGTGAGGCTGGCTGGCGTGACTAGGGCAGAGTGAAGCAGGCTGGGGCGGGAGGTGGGCTGGTGGGACAGATCTCCCAGGGCCTGGCAGGCCACAGTATGGAGTGTGGGATCTGGTCTGGGCGTCCAGGCCTGTTCTAAGGATGTCCTTTCATCTGGGGAACAGGAGAGAGACTGATGAGCAATCAGTGGAAGTAGAGAAGCTCAGGGGCAGTGTGGCCACTGCCTGGCAAGAGTTGAATGACTGAGAGTGGAGAATGAAATTATGACCACAGCACAGGTTTGGGAGAACAGAACACAGGTCCTTCCCAGCCCATTCGAAGTGCTCTGCTGGCACAAATGCAGGAGGGAGCCAGAGCAGCTGGCGAGGCCTCACATCTATAACGGGTAGACAGATGCTGGCATGTTTTAGGAGTATAAGGAGGGAAAGGAGTATATGCCCAGGGGGCAAAGCCTGGCTCTGTTTCCAAGTTTCCTGGGAGAACACTCCCTGCTGCTGAGCAAGGGGGTTCCTGAGGGAGTGAAAGCCGAGCCAGCCCGGGATTCAAATCTGGGTTCACCATTTTGCACTGTGTGACCTTGGGTAAGTTACTTAGCCTCTCTGGGCTCCAGTTTCCTCATTGTCAAATGAGGATGCCATGCAGAGGATTAAATGGAAGAATACACCCAGCTGGAACAGCAGTCAGGGCTCGATGAGTGCCAACGACTCTGAGACACAATCTGTAAGGTCCTCACATTACAGATGAGGAAACAGAGTCTCAGAGAGGGCAAGTGACTTGCCCAAGGTCACCCAGTGAGAAAGTAGAAGAGACTCAACTGAGCCTGACCAATTCTGAAACATGTACCCCTTTTCCTCCTTATACTTTCAAAACATGCCAGCATCTGTCTGCCCATTACAGAGGTGGGGCGCGGCTGGCCTCCCTGCCTCCCCCCTGCATCTGTGCCGGCAGAGCCCCCTGAAAGGGCTGGGAAGGAGCTGTGTTCTGTTCTGGCAAACCTGTACTGTGCCACCATTCGAGTCTTGTTGTCTGGAGAAGGAAAACGCTGGGTGCCTGTGATGTGCCAGGCTCCGCATGAGCTAATCAACCTGGTTTTGTCTTCTGGGAGACAAGCTTGGTACACATTTTCCAGATGAGAACACAGACTGAGAGAGAGCAAGGCTCCCTCCTCAGTGGGGAAATGTCTTCCTTTGCAAGAGCGTTCAGGGTCCTCCCTTGCCAGCCCTCAGAGTCCGGACCCCTGTCTGGGAGCCCCATGGTGCACTTTCCCCCGGGATCAGCATGCCTCTTCCAACGCTGGTGGCTGGCGTGTTTGTACAAAGCAACCAGATTTGACAAATGGTAGGAGGCAGCCCCATCCTCCTGACCCTGACGGAGGACAGCTGGGCTGGGCTGGCCTGTGGGGCTGGGATAACACCAAGGGCACCAGGCACGTGTCCATCCCCTCTCCTCCTGTCTCTGTCAATCTGAGCTGTGTGGGTGCGCCTTTCCGCTGGGAGGGATGGGGGTGGAAGTGTGTCCTCAGATGCCGGCACTATATTTGGAGCTCGCTTTGATTCTGATTCCAGGGCATGTGGGCTGTGACAGGCGCCTGGAGCAGACCCTGCTTGAATGCCGCCAGCCACGAGTGCTCACACGCCCTCCAGTGGCTCTGACTGGCTCGGACTCTGGAACTTCCCAAACTGGCAGACTCTCCCCTTCCAATCCGGATGCCTTTTCTTTCTTTTAGTTGCCTAGCTACCTGCTCTGGCTCCAACCTCCAGGAGGTTGAATAGAAGCAGCAGGAGCAGGCAGCCTTCCTTGCCTTGCTCCTGCCCCGAGGCGGAAGGATTCAGTCTGTCACCATTGAGTGTGGGGTCCGCGGTGCTTTCTGTAGATGCACTTTATCAGGTTGAGGGCGTGCCCCTCTCCCTCGCTTGTTGAGCTTTTACCATGAAGAGTGTTGGAATTTGTCCATTTTTTCCCCTCTGAAAGATGCTTTCTTTTAAAGTGTCCCAGGCAAGCCCACTCTTTCTTCTAAGGGCAAAAGCTCAAATGTAAATCCAAAGAGTGATCTGCCAGGTCGCTGTGTGGACAGTGATGTTGGTAAAACAGCAGTGGCCACGCTTCCCAGGGGCCAGGAATGTTCTCACTCCCCAGAGCCGTCTGTTCAATGAGCAATGAGAGCCATCCAGCCAGGGCAGGAGGAGGGCTGTGCCCCGCGGACCTGGGCCACCCCCTCGCACTCACCGCCCTCTACCCCCAGGCCTACGAGAAGCGCTTCCCGACCTGCCCGCAGATCCCTGTCTTCCTGGGCAGCGAGGTCGTGTTCGAGTCCCGCAGCGCCGATGGCGCGGTGCACGTGGTGGAGCGGAGCTGCCGGCTGCGCGTG